CAAAAGGTTTGAAGGGTGGTAAATGGTTTATTGTAATGAGTTAGAGAGACTTACTCGGGGGTGATACGGTCCAAGGTTTCGTCGTCCAGAGCTTCGACGATGTTCAACAATTGGTCGCAGCTCATGCGCGGTTTGTACACGCGCTCCTCGATGCGGGGTTGTGGGCAGTGCGAGTACATCGTGGACACGTGCACCAGCGACTACGCAAGAGCAGAAACAGTTCAATAATATGTGATCGGGAGGTCCTAGAGTTTGAATTCCAACGGTGATCGGATTTTTGACACTGGCGTGTTAGCTAGGTCGAATTCAGTCGCTGTCTGGAGGAGATTTCTAGCGGCCGGCTGCTTTCATCGGTAGTTTTCCGTGAATTCTACGATCTACATCAGGCGAATACCAGGGCAGTGCCCTAACAAACGGACCACGGTCACACGCGATCTTTCCTTTCTCTTCATTGTCCTGTCCTCGTCTCATACTTGCACACTCTCACACACATTTTCACTTTCTTGCACTATACTAGCACACATGTTTAGAAACCAGTCGGGAGCTTAGAGCTTGGCCCGGCTGGGGCGGAGCCCCGATGCGGGCGATACTTGGTTAGAAAACAAGCAACAAGCTGACGTGTATGGCTGCGCCGGATCTCACCATCCATCGGGCGAGCACCATCACCTTCCGTGACAAAAACTGCACTTCACCTACGGTACTAAGGACCATAGTAGTTGATGCGCCCAAAAGCTTTCAGACATGCCCATATCAAAAAATCTTGTTTACGTTTCTAAAAATAGTCACGATTTCCCTGAAAATTAAGCAAAAATCACATTTTACAAGATTGCCGATGGTATAATTAATCAATATATCTTAATTATGAAGAATACATTTAATGGAGAAAAATTTAACCTTCCATATAGTTGATGCAGCTCGGGCTCAAAATCGGTACTTCGTGATATTTGGGCATTAATATTGCAAATTGTTTACATTGTATTGATTATATTACTTAAAATCAGTATCTTTGTTTACAAATTGCTGGAACTGTGCATATTAAAGGCGAGAGAAATATATAAAAAATTAAATTTGTATAATTTTTGAAAAAACAAATGAATTAATTTTATATCATCTTAAACAGTGTAATTAGCACTACACATTCGAAAAGTTGGAAAAAAAGCTTTTGGAGAAATTATTTGAAAAACAAAAAATCCGTATTGAAAGAACTGATTATGAGCAACAAATTTCAGTGGAAGGAAAAATCTCCTCCTTTAATTCTGTAGTTGTATGAAGGCGCGGCAAATAATTCTTAATTACTTTTGAAAGTTTCGAAAATTCAGAGCTAACCATGAAAATCGGACCTACTTCATATTTATAAGTGTATTTTACTCCATACTTACAAGAAATTTAAAGAAAGAATTTGGAGCCGAGTTTGAGAAAATTTTGAAAATGTCCCAGAGTCTTCATGTAAAGTATCCCTAAAAACTAATAAATGATTTTCAAACATGGCAGAGCTTCGACTCAAGCTAAATGGACTTTGGTTTTCTCAATTTGGGAAAAATCCTACACAAGGATTACGAGATAGTGTTGTTCACATACACCGGACGGACGGACGGACGTTTTGAAGAAAAGAAAAACCCTTTCTCGGTATCAGGGAAACCTAAAACGTGTATTTCTGTTGAGATCTCGGAATCGATCTTCGCAGCATTAGATAACTTTCCGTATATTACGCATATTACTCCGTATATAAGAACATATGCGGGAAAGTAAAAACAAAATTACTTCCCAGAAAATTAAAGTATCATAATCGAAATAAGTTCTAAGCTTTGTAATAGTGACGGCAACGTTCGTGTCTGTGGCCCTGACCGATTAAAGCAGGCGGCCGCTAGAATTGTCCTCCGGACATTGGCTGAATTCCACGTGACTGTTTAACTAGTACCGAAAATCCGTCGTCGTCAGAAATGGAACCCTAGAACCTCCCGGCCAGAGTCGCTACAATGACATTGCGCATCTTGAGCTAATTCACCTGACCGTCATTTTCATTGATCATTGATCATTTCATTTTCATTGATCAATTCGTCTTTTCGGGATCGTAAACGTCCATGATTATCAGTCCCATAAATATAGTGCCTCTTTATTACTAAAGGAGGAGGTGATGGTTGTGTTCTTCCCCTTAGGACGGGTTTTTTATTGCAAGAGATGTCGATGTTCCTCCCCCTCTGGATGGAGACATCAGCCGCCAAACTATACGTCCACTAGCGGAGATTTTACTCTCCAGGTATCTCCCCCAGCACGGAACCGCCCCAGACGAGACGAGCTGTAAGCTCCCGATTGGTTTCTATCGTGTGTGGTAATGTAGTGCACGTAAGTGTGTGGAATTAAGTGGTGAGGATAAAGAAATGAAAAGAAAGAAAAATCGCGCGGGCGTCCATAGCCCGGTTGTTAGAATACTTCTCCGGCATTCGTATAATGTTGATCGGAGAAACCGCGCAAATCTATTGATCTGAGCAGCTGGCCGCTAGAATGCTCCTCCAAACAGGAGATCTGTCACTTTGAATACTAGTCCTGTCGGTACATTTTACCAAGGAAAAGGACTTAAGATCATTTTCTTTGTCTTCGCCGTATTGCAGCCCTCACCCTCACATATTATTTTCCCCAAACGAGGGGGGCTCATCAATTGTCTACTCCCCAGACTGAGTACAGACAATTGTTTATTAATAGAATGAAAGTTATATACAAACATATTTTGACTGTTCTTCAATTTTACAACCGTAAAACTACAGGATGCCCTTATGGATTTAGGGCGTAAGGTACCGTTACTCGCTTGTGAAAATTGAACACTTGGAATTCCTGAATAAAACTTGTAACCCCTCCCCCCAAAAAAACAATAATAATGAACACAACAAGAAAAAGAACACAATATCCAACAATTCATACAACATATATTCAATAATAATCTCTACCTTAGTGTTCATAAAGAACACACCAGAATATAGGTATTGTGGTGAGTTTTCGTTGGCATTTACAAGGAAATAATTATGAGTCATTGCCAACAATATTATTTATTACAATAGCAGCTTTCGATGGCTTAGTCATCATCGTCAGTTTTCTAGTACAAGAAAAAACAAAAAAACATTACGTGATTTTTTTTTATTTGACAACAAAATTATGATAAAAAGATAACTAATAGTTTTCAATTTTTAGAAAATATATTTAACATATTAAGAACTGAAAGAAAGAAAGGGGGTGTTAAATCATTTAATGCTACAAGAAAAGTGAATGAAATTGAATTTGGACATGCAAATTTTTTTGAAAGAGAAAACATGAACTGTAAGTTGACCCATTTCTTACCTGCTGTGTGGAAGCCACGAAACGACTACGCGTGTCCGCGCGAGCTAAAGGCTTAAGTAGCCGGCTGTGTGGTGGAGGAGGTGGAGGAATCACAAAATATTTTCACGTTTTAATGTTGTTGTTGTTTTTTTTTGTTTTGTTTTTTATTGTTCTAGAAAACTGATGATGATGGCTAAGCCATCGAAAGCTATTATTGTAATAAATAATATTGTTGGCAATGACTACTCGTATAATTACAACACCCCAGAATCTTTACTAGATAATGTCACAAACATATATTTTACACACATTTTTATGAAAAGCTATTGCTTGCTTGGTAATTGGTTTCGAAAAAAATATAAAAGTTGTAGGAAATAGTATTTTCTTTAAAATTGAATTTAACCATTTTCTAAAGGACTTAAGGTTAAAAATGTATATAGAAAACCCCGAGAAAGTCAGAAAAATACATTTTTCTGGATTTCCGGAGTTAGCACTGTGTCTAGGAGGTCGAAAACTGGGGTGTTTCGACTACAGCCTGAGTACTTACCACATAACCAAAGAAATTTTTTCATAATTCTTTCCAGCCCCCCACCCCCCATTCAATACCAACCGAGTGAACTCAACTAACTCCTCCGTTGAGACGCGATGCACAGCACCGCATAGTCCGTGCGCCCCTGAACGCTTACCAGCAGCCCCTTCATTTCGTGCGCCAGGCGCAGCAGCTCCCTGGTGGCGCGCACGTTGATGGCGGCGGCCGTGCGCAGCGGCGCGTCGAAGCGCACCGTAGCGGCGCTGTGGAGAATCACGTTGACGCTCCGCACCAGCTTCGCGCGGTCCTCCGGCTTCAGCCCCAGGTCGGGCTCGCTCAGATCGCCGGACACCAGCACCAACTTGTCCCGGCGGCAGCGCACACGATCGAACAGCTGCGTCAGAACCGAACTGTTGACATTGATGCTCAAAACATTGGGAGGCGAGATAGTGGAACGAGATAGTGAAACAAACCAGTTCTCGTCGCGACACTGACCTGCTCGGACGCCTCCTATCGAAGCAACGGTCTCGGCGCGTTGTTCCGTGTAACCTTGGTGTAGTAAAGTTGTTAAAGAGTTAAACGGGATGTATGTGTGCCCTTCTCTGTGTTTGTGCGTGTTTTTTAATATGCGTGTTTAAACTTCTATACTGATGTTCATCGTAGAAGAACAAAGATGTATTCTACACCTACCGGTTCTACAAGTCCTACCAGTTCTACAAGTCTGCCACCAGCCAGAATGAGCTAAGCACAAGCATCTTAAGGTACAATGTTCCCTAAAAAGGATATTGCATTAGTTATATATTCAGAAAATTTCTCTCCAGTTCTTGATTTCCTGCAAGCGTTGGCTAAAATAATGGAGACATCACACATCACATTTGCATCCAAAATATCAAATTACAGACTGCATTTACCTTACAAATAAAGTGATAACAGATAAACTACTATTGGTATTGTGGTAAGTTTTTGTTGGCATTTACAATGAAATAATTATATCAGTCGTTAATTATATCGCCAACAATATTGTTTATTACAACACCAGCTTTCGATGGCTTAGCCCTCATCATCAGTTTTCTGCTGAATGGAAGCCACAAAAACGACTCTTTTTTGTCGTTTTTGTGACTGCCTTGCAGCAGAATTCTGATGATGATGATGGCTAAGCCATCGAAAGTTGCTATTGTAATAAACAATATTGATGGCAATGACGACTCATAATTATTTGAGAAAAACTACTTTCTGATTGTAAGTCAATCACAGTATCAGATCAAGAATTCTCCATCAGACCATTTCCATCTCAGCGAGAGAATTATTTTGTCGAATGTATGCTCTAGTATCCCCCAGAGAGTATTAAAAAATAAGTTAATGAGTTTAGGCACCAAAACAACGGTACGAATGTCTTTCCTCAGAGCGAGTTTTTCTGATCCCAGGCTGTCATATGAGTTTTCGCCGTCAGACCTTCATTGCTCTGGAAGATAAAAAACGTCACCAGAAGTTTTTCAAGACACAATACCAGAAGTGCCTCATTGAATAAACATAACTTCTGATATTATTATGTAGTAGTCTTATGTATGACCATATTATGTATGACCATAGCTGATGTGAAAACATTTACTACTGATCTGCCTGGCCTTGTCAGAATGTGAAGACAAATTCGTCCTACACTCCCTGCAAAGAATGTTAAAAACCAATGTTCACGTTTAATTTTAAAAAGATTGAAATACTACTATTATAAGTGACTTGACTCAACTCTCGTCTACATAAGATAGTAGTTTTGTGCTATTAATGGATATTATCCAGTGGTTTCTATGCACGAAAGCCTTACCTAAAATCCCTCGTAAACGAATGCAAACCTAAAATTCTTTGCCTACAAGAAACAGACTTCAAAAACCTTCACTGTAAAAATTTAAATGGATTCCGTTCATCATTCTAAAATTCATAACGAGTGGTGGAGTGGCTATTTTGCAAGAACAGAATATTTTTTTTACATGACGTACAACTTGAAACTACATTAGGGGCCACAGCAGTGAGAGTTAAATTGAATTTTAGTTTAACCATTTGTAATAAATACTTACCTAATAGTCAAGAATTAACTATTAATGAACTGAACAATATCAGTAACCAAATTCCTAAACCATTCGTATTGCTAGGCGACTTCAACAGCCATAATCCCTTATGGAGTCATCACAAACCTGACAGCAGGGGAAGAGAAATTGAAGATGGGTTAACCAACCACGACAAACTAATATTACGTCAGACCGGACTAGCTACTTACTTTGATACAAGAAATGCAAAGAAAATGCAATAGATCTGAGTCTGGCATCCAAAAACAACTTGACTACTTGTCAAAATCTTTATGATGGTGACCATTATTTTCTGCTTATCAACTTTTCTGGTATCCAAACAAATAAGAAATTAAAATGACACCCCAAGTGGCTTACAAGTGGCCCAAACTTACAATGCTACATTGCCCTATTATCAGAAATATAGAAATGAAAATATTGACAAACGCACGAACCCGGATTGTTCATAATTTTCCCTAATCGACATTATAATTAAAGAATTCACTGATATGATTACATCTGCTGCACGAACAGCAGTACTCAAAAGTTCAAGCACAATCCGTGAACGCCACGTTCAATGATGGAACGAAGAATGTACGGTAGCCATCAGGAACCAGAGAAAATCTTTTAGGAAATATAAAAAATACAAATCAATGTAGTACTGTATTTCCTGTAAAAAATCTATAACAAAAGCTTGCCCTTCTTTCAAATCCACCACGATTAAATCCTTCCATGAGTTAACTTCTTCTATTACTAGTCGAATCTCAACCTCAATTACCCGGTAAAAATCAAAGCAAAATCGAACAAATTTCCCGCTCAAAATTTTTTATTGATATCGATGGCATGAAGTACTGTAGATCCTAAGAAATCTCCAACATATTGGCTTATACTTTTGCTTCTAACACAAGTAACAAAAACTATGTTTCAAATTGTATCCACAAAACACACCCAGTTCTCAACGAACTTAAACAATCAAGTCATCGACCAAGGAATACAGATGAATTTAATAAACCATTTATCATCGATGAGCTTCTTCAAGCCACAAAAATAGCAATAACTCATCCCCTGGACCAGACGACATCCCAATTTTTATTCTGAAGAATCTCCTATGAAAGGAATTTACTACCTCCTCTACCTTTACAATTTTATCTGGACAACTCATTCCTTCCCTAACCAATCGAAAAATGCTATAGTCATCTCAGCATCTAAACATAATAAAGACGAGTCTAAACATACTAATTTCCGTCCCATTTCATTAACTTGTACATTATGCAAAGAAAAAATGGTAAGCAATAGCCTTAAATGTTTTTAGAATCAAACAACCTGATATCCCCTGCTCAAAGTAGTTTCCAAACATTCCATTCCACCAATAAACATTTGGTCTACATCGTTTCTGAAATTTGTGACTCTCTCGCTTTGGACCACATAGAAAAAGCAAATGGATTGTAACTAATGATCAAAAAGTTGAAAAGCGACCTAAAATAAATAAAATTAAACATCCACCACTAAAAATCACAGATTAATTTAAAAAGCTCCTTAGAATACAAAATGTATACAAAATTATGTGTATGGTTAGGAGCTTGACTGTCAATCCGACATATGAAACGACACGGCAACAAAGTTTTTAGACTAGTAGTGTTAAAACAGGACTTTCATTCTCACCCGTACTTTCAAGCAAAATTATGTGAAAAGAACACAAATGTTCGGAAAACTGTACATGATCTCATTCAAAATCCACCTTTAATTAACAGATTTCATTTATAAAATACCTCTATCCTTAATATTATAGTTGTAGGAAGACTCTTTTAAAGATATTGAACACTTGCAATTGTCAAAAAATCAGGATTTTCAACGAACAGGAGACCTGCACCATTGACTTAAACGTCCTTTACACTAACCAATAACAAAATTTAATCAAAAACGATGGAGACTTTTCTGAAAATTTTCCAGGGTCTTCATGAAAGTACTCCCAAAATTAAAATATCAGTTTTAAATTCAAGGGGACACGGTATCAACAAGATTGATTCGGGAATTTCAATTTTGAAGAAAATCAGCTGTACTATTTAGCCGATAGCGTTTATCACAGACGGACGGGCGGACGGACGTTTTGCAGGCATTCGCTTTTCGGTATCAAAGAACCACAAAACATGAATTCTCGCTACAACAAGCGATAGACGATTTTGTTTCAAAATTTAGCAACTGGATTTATCTACATTTCGTTACTAGAGCCCTGTAATAAGTTTTACTGTCGAAAATCCGCCGTTTTTTCGCGCATCACTACATATCTTTCTCTCTACTCCGTAGGTATGTTTCAAACAGTCTGCAAACCTTATTTAAAATTAGCCCAATTACTTTTTCTTTTTTGAATACGATTTAAATGTAATATTAATGAAAAATTGCTAACTGTCAGAGACTATCAGATTGGAATGCACGAATGGCATTCCACCCCGCGAGACGGCAGCTATAGTTCTGTAAATTTGGACTCTTTGTTGGGACATGGTTTAGTTGTATAATTGTCACATTTGCCTTCATATTTGCTTGAAAATATTTAATTTTCGTTCCTGATGTTCTACAATTTGTAATGAGCAATACAAAAGATTATAAATGAGATGTGTTAATTTGGAGAGAAATTGCAGTATAAAAACTCGTAGTATTATATAAACATTATTAAGGGCGAGAAAGTATGTGTAGTTTTAGAACCACTAACCTTACCGTTAACCTTATGTACATTGCATTTCATATGGGAACAATATTTGTATTTGTAACAAGCCTACCGTCACGAAAGTGTATTTCATTTGTAAGACTTTCCTTAATCACACGTTGCCAATTCTAACAATTTAATAAATATTTTATTAATTAATTTGTTTATATATATTAACAATCACAGTGGAACCCTTTCATATACCTTTACTAGTAGTAATATAGTCCTGTAATCATTCAATATCGAGTGTAATAATTGTGGGTCTTTGAGGAAAACGAAGCTAAGTGACATTTTTAATTTGCTGAGATATTTACATTCAAAGTTAATGAATGAAATACTAAATTCTATTAACTTTATTATAATATCCAGCACATCACATTGATCTTGGTTATCTTCTTATGTACGTATCATTTTCCAGTTTTTTCAAAGTTTTAAATATTTCATTTGTTAAATTGAAAAGATTACTATGCATTGAATAGCTTAAGAGGAAAAGTAGTCCAAGTGACAAACTAATTTTCAACATTAATATTTCTCAAAGATTACGGAGTTAAATTAGTTAAAGTAACAACAAAATGGATGATAATGCTGATGCTTTAGTAACAAAATAAGTTTTGCTTTGATAATTCATATATATTATTAATAGGAAGTGAACGTCTTCAAGTCTATTTAATATTAAGTAATGTAAAGATAACAAGAAATTGGTAACATATTGAAAAACTCTGATATATTTGAACATTTTTCCCTTTTCCCCTCTTTTTCATTATTCATCCTCATACTTACTAATGAGTTAATTATCTCTACCATCTTCTGTAAAAGATTCACTCTCAGAAACTGTTCTTGTAATCGTTGCAAGTCGTACTAATTCATCCCTGTATGTAATACTTACCAGAACTCTTCAGTAAGGGCCTTCCATAAATTATGTAACGCACTTTTGGAGTATTTTCAATACCCCGTCTCCACCTGCAACGCGCGCTTGAACCCGCTTGATGACGTAACACTTGCGACAAGCACCCCCTCCAATTCCAATACGTAAAACTTAATTACATAGCAGAAACGAGTTGTAATAATTGTATTTGTGCTATACAATGAAATTTATTATTATTAACGTAAGAATAAGTTGATGGTGCGGACTTTGCATAACAATAAGTTCGGAGGCTATTTGTTTAATGAAGGAAGGACGCGTTGGCGAGAAAATATCTGATAAGTCGTGCACATGCCGACGTGGATGAGGCATAGGCTCCGAGTCTATTGCGCCGACTAATTGGATTTTAGAATATACTATAGATCAGTTTACATAGAATCTTTTCTTCGTAATCTAAAACATTCAATCAATACCTTTTTTTATTGATGAAAATAGTTTCATTTATTATAACATTTAGAATATAACTTCTTTCATTTATTACATTTTTAATTTAATTTGTTAGTATGGTGATTTTTTAGTATAAGACTGAATAAAAGAAATTATTTCAGCAATTGTAGAAAGATTTAAAAAAATATCAGCATCACATAACACTAATCTATGACCTCCCTACCCATGTCATGCAGAAAAACGCTGCCTCAAACCCCCTCCCCCCTCTTCAACGTTGCGTAATTTATGGACGGCCCCTGTGGCCTGTGTTCCACGACTGTTGCACTGGCGCAGAACGGACTATTTTAGGCCGAACGGCCAAGAGCGCTCGTGTGCTGTTTCGCATAAGATACAGGCGTTACTTAACTCGTGTCAACGCAACGCTCGTGTGCCACAGACCTAAATAGACAGTTATCTGACTGTCATTCATTATGACTGAAATAATCGGTGTTCTCGTAGTCACGACAACAAAACACTGCCACTTAGACTACCTTTCCTACAACCGAAACAACAAATCTTTAAAGCCGTTCAACTTTCGGACAACAGAAAGTATCAGTCGAAAGAGACAAGGCTTTGATTCTTTTTCCTCTTCGCAGTATTTATTATAGAGCTATTTTTATAAGAATGGACCATTTTGATAGCTAGTGTTGGCAACACAACTGAAGGTTCTGTGATCGTTGTGTTATTGAGCCTATTAGACTTTCCTTCCAGCATTCGTTCGTTTGCAGTTGGCTAACTTGTAAATAGCTTCGACGCTTCCTTCGGATGTCCTCGAGCGACGAAAATATAGTGCGCCAAGAGACATCTTTGAGACACATTCCCACGTACGTAATTATATTTCAGTATTTCCCGGACTCGCGTACGTGTATATACCCAAGCGAAACTCTTAGACTTGTGTATATCTTCACGGGAGCCGTAAACAAACACCTTCCCAAGAGGCGCGGCTGAACAGCTGCCGCGCGGAGAGATACTTCTCTGATGATCAAACTAATCGAAATCGATCGATGATACACGTGATGTTCGCTTGTTTAGCGAACTGTAACTTTGGCTCATTCTTATAAAAATCGCTCTATATCTAGCGTCTCAATAAGCATCTAACTTATTTTTTCCAACAATGTCACTTAGCCTCGTTTTGCCCTGAGCCCTACAATTGTATTGAATAAAACAGTGTCACTTGGTTTGTAATATTCTCTCGTATATCAAAATGTTGTGTGGCGTGTCCGGCGTCCAGCGTCAGTCTGTCGAGGGGCCTACAATAGGCCGTTGCAGTAGTTTCTGGCGCGCTCGCAAGGTGGCGCCCTTTGTCTATCATACAACACAAACTTTTACGTGGTTGCAGCGACAGAATAGTCGCCTACCCTCATATTAACGTGAAAGATATTACGCGGAAGTGAATAAAGCATATAACGGCTGGAGCGCCTCACCTGGTCGTCGAGGATGCGGTCGATTCGCTTCTGCGGCGGTTCCCCGCGCCGCTCGCGCACCAGCAAGTAGATGGTGGCCACCTCGGGGCAGGAGCGCAGCAGCTTCTCCACAAGCAGTTGGCCCAGGAAGCCCGTGGCCCCCGTCACCAGCACCGAGCGCCCGGCCAGCCACTCGGCCACGCCAGGCCGATCGTCGCCCGCCGCCGCCGCAACCGCCGCCGGCATCGCCGAACTGCGGCCACAACAGCGCGTTACATCACATCATCACCATCATCATCATCATTAGGGGTCGCATTTTAATGATATATCGTTTTTTATTTTCACTGTAAAACAATGCCTATTAGTACAGACATTAATTTTGTTATGCAAAAGCAAATGAGCCATTATTATATGACTTTTTGTGCATTTTTCGTAGATTTCGACTAAGTCATTTTTTTTACCTTTTCAATGTTTCAATATTTAATAGATGCAACAAATATTCTCCACAGAATTACTCAGAAGCCTGTTTGATTTCTTCGCAACGAAATTATTTAGCCGTTGCATGTAATCTAAGGTTCCCGTAACGCCGTGTATCAGAGTGATTGTCAGTTCGGCCAATTTCGGGATTTCCTGATAAAGAACGGTCCAAACCAAAAGTTTGTAAGCTGAGTTCAGTTGAACGAAAAGAAGCAGCCTCGATTTCATCAGTAAGATAGATGTCCAACACCTTGCGTGGTTCATCTGAACTGGTTTTGACTAATTTATTACGACATTTTTCTTTGCTTTGCCTTTTTAAAACATTTAAGAGCATTTAAGAGCATCTTTTTTGGCGATGTTTTAGTCATCATCGGCCGTCTGCTTAACCTCTAGGTTATTATCTGACTCTCCCTGCCCTCTAATCTTGTTATTGCCTTTTCACACCTTAGAGTATCGTGTTCCCACCTGGCTTGTAATCCGATTCAGCCGAGAACTGTCTCCTGCCGCTAGTATTTCGTACGCCCGTGCTAGAGGTGGCGAGGTTTGGCGGCGCTCACATAAACCCTTACGGAACTTTCCTCATACACAGATAATCGGGGAAAGATCTGGGAAGGAAAAGGTGGCGGTTGGGATATGCTCCACTATGCCACGATATTAAAGAAAACATATAGGCCCAAAGTGCAATTCGAACTCGCTGCCCTCGTAACCACCTATTCGCTATAGAATCCGACCGTTAGTCCACTTGCTGCCAATTGGTAGCCTTCCGAGGTTTCTCCGATGAATACCAATCGAATGCCGGAACAGAACCCTAACAAATGAGCCCCCGATCGCGCGCGAACTTTCTTTCCTTTTCCTATCTTCTCTCCCTACACTTGCGCACTTATGCACTGCATTATCACACATGTCGGGAGACCAATCGGGAGCATAGAGCTTGTCCCGGCTGGGGCGGTGCCGTACCATGCCGTGTTGGTAAAAGATACCTGGAGAGTGCGTGACCTTAAATGTAATTGTGAAAAACAGATTTCATGAAGGGAAAAACTACCCAAAATAGCAATTTTTCAATTTTCCGAAAAGAAGTGAGTTTGCTGAAAATGAGTCATTTTTATAAGATTTGTCTTCTTTATTTCAGAAAACAATTTAATCCAAATTTCGGGCAGTTTATTTAGAAAATCTTCGTTTTAAAATTCCTTGTGTATTACGTCATCATATTTAAATTAACAACTTTGAAGAACATATTTCAATTAGAAAAAATTATAGTTTCCCATAATTACATTTTTCGGTATCAAGGATCCACAAAACGTGTATTCTGTCTACACGTCATGATAGAGGTTAATTTACATGCTGGAAGAAGAATTATCCCCTTTTCGTAATCGGGACCCACAAAACTATTTTTCTGTCGAAAAATCTCCGTTTCTTGTTGCAGCGTTATATTACTTTCTTCAAACTACGTATATATTATGCGAGGAAGCAGTTGAAGTAAGTAATTGATAAGTTAATAAATTGAAATGTTTGTTAATGTAAATATAGATTTTATTTATTACTTCTGGACGCGCAGTTTGAACCGATGAAGAAAAAAATCGTAACGATATTTGAAATGTAGAAATAACGGAAGGTTACATTTTGCAGATGAATAATATATTTATATGTTTGTAATATTTAAATACGGTAAATAATATGTATTCTCTCCACTTACCTCCAAAAAGAAGTGTGTTGGCATAGACAGCCAAATTAATTCAAATTTGGCGCCACACTGGAAGCTCATTCAATTAGACTTCTCTTTGAGGTATTTAAGAAGAAAGAATGATACGTATCCAAGTTCGCGCGTTCGAGATAATTTAAATTTGGCCCCAAAACCCAAGAATTCTCTCACAATAAGTTAAAATTCAATTTATATAAACTCTTCTAAATAAACCTTCAAACTGCTCCCAAAAGTGACCGGTAGATCACACCACCTCCTGACCTGCCGGCGAAAAAGCTTTGCACTTTGTAGTACCTTCCCGGTATCCACTTTTTCCACATAAGACGCGACGAGTTCGCCTTGTTTGAGAATCCGCAGCCGCAAGAAGTTTCGAAGCAATCACTTAGGGAAGCCAAGTAACACGCGTATTGGGCGCATTGAAAGTGGTTTGTATGTTGGCAGCGCGGTATGTAGTCTCAGTGGACCAGCGGTTCGAAAAGAGGTAAAAACAGCATCATAACGAATAAAATCCGTAAAGAGCTTGTTTTCGTCCAGACAAAGATTACAAAAACCATGACAATTTCATCAATACTTAATTATTCTTACGGCAAGTGATTAAACATGTGTCGTCTTTTCAGAATGTTCTCGTCTGTCGAGAACACAGAAAGGCGATGCACATAACTTCTCGGCGCAGTTTCTGCAAATGCTCTCTCAATCATCTAAGCAATATTTCGCAGCCTCAACAAAGGGGTATGTTCGCTTTTTGTGTAATTGATCTAAATTTAATGTTTTGAATAAAAATCCATATGTGTCAGAAGATTGCATTGTTCTCTATCCGTATTAAATGTTTGTAGAAAAATATAGAACCGTTTCAGAAAATCTTGTTTGAATATTTCTGGGAAATCGTCACGATTTGATTAAAAATTTCACGAAAACTGCTAATATTATCGAAAAATTGTACATGAAGTGGATGTAAGTGCTTAAATTGACGAATCGCTAGTACTAAGAGAATATATTAGCTTCAATTAAATTTTAATGAAAATCGAACATTTACCATGTTTTTACGCCCAAGTTTATTCACTTCAACACAATATTTAAATATAAAATCTGTGGGTATTTCTGGGGGAATTTCGAGAATGTAGTGTGGACGCCGTGCAAGAGTACAGTATGGTGATAATTGTCGAGAAGAATGTTGGCTCACTTTATTAGTGTAGTTTCTAAACATGCATAATACTTTCAGTATTTACTGTATAGAGATGAATTTTTATATCTACTTAAATTTAAATTCCGAAAACAAATAAAAAATATACTGGGTAAAGATTTAAAGTTATTGTCTTGTTCATGTATTATTGCTAATTGTCTATTTACAGTATTATTGACACTAACCTAAAAGTCGAATTTCACTTCCACATTATAACCAAGACACTCAGCATACAATATCTTCTCCATATTTTGTATTTTGTTCAGTTAGTTCTTTAGTTTCAACGCAAAGCTGAATGAGAGTCGGCAACACAAAACTCCCGTGTTGCTTGACCTCAGTTTTAATCATGAGTTCGCGCGCAGTGGGAATTCCCACTCTTTCACCGTCCCATGCTGAAATTTCACTTTTCCAACAAACGACTACAGGCTACAACCATTTCGTGCGACGCAACAGCAGGTAGCGAGAGAATGTCTCAAGGTCAACGGGTGGCAGGCTGCGGTCTCCCCGCTTCTGCGGCCCCTTACAGTCGCCTCCATATTTGCACGTTTGTTCGTTTCCACACCAAGCGTGACGGGCGGTCGCCGACCGACTCCATTCCCTTTCTTTTTGCTCGACGATTTTCTCTGCCGTCATTACATCTATAACATTCGCATCGTCTGCGTTTATTGCCAGTTTTTCACTGTGGGCACAATCCAGGAAATAAATTATTTCATAAATTTAGTAGATCTGAATTTCATTGTAATTCTCCTAACTGCACAATGGTTCATTATACTAGACAAAACCCATTTTGTAAAAAAAAATCATTATGTACTTCTTATTATTTTCAATGCATTGATTCAAAATATGTAATTACACATATCCCGACGCATGCCAATTCTGTGTTAAATTTATTGCTTCAGATATAAAGGAACGATTACGTTTTTCTAAAGCTGATGCTATGTGATGCTGTTGCAATGAATTATCTTTAACATCAACTCCAGCAAACATTTAGAGCAAAATGTTACAAAGGAGATCAAAAATTTACGACGATGGCGGTGAAATCTTTTCTTCCTATATATTATTAAGAAAGCCTTATTTAAAACCATTGCGTGATGAAGATTTATTTACTCTTATCATTTTGTAGAAGCTTTATTTGAACAAATAAATACGGATAACAAAAATTATATTATACGGATAACAAAATTATCGTATAACAAACCTTTTCTTTTGTACAAAAAGGTGCGATTCAGGATATTCTGTTTTTAATTCAGACCTGGAATACTTCGTTTACATAGTACAGAACACAAACCGTGCAAATTACATATGACTGTAATAAAGTAAAGCCAATACAGAAAATATGTGAATAATATAAAGTAATATGTATAAAAATATCGCGGTTAAACAGTAAGAAGACAATAAAAGCAATCACAAGTAATAGTAGAAAACAATGAAATTATCATAGATAATTCACATCTAAAATTCTGTTGAAGTACAAAACTAAATGTTTAACGTAGTATCGTATTCAACGGTTTATAGTAATAAGATGTTTGGAACAATAATAAACAGTATTCAACGAAGTATTGGAGTCAAGTGTAGCTTACATAAATATTTATCACTTGCATCTAACACTATAACAATGACAATTTTATTCATGACTATTTCCAGAGAGCTACTTTAAAATCAGAAATTAGTTGAAACAAAATCATGAAGCATAGGATATAACTGGTTGTCTCTCATCTCCAAACATCCATCTAGTAACTGGTTAAACAGGTGCGGGGCCAAATAAGAAAAGCATGCAGTAAATAGTGATTTGAAATAATGTGGATGTGATAACGTGGTGATAATCTGGTGCAGAATTACCTAGCCTACCCGTCTCTCAAGAAAGCTACTTGATCACGAAGAAAAGGTGGGTAGCCAGTTT